AATGGCATCCCAATGATAAGTATACCAAGTTCTGTGATGTGTGTATGAATATGATGTTTTATTTATTTATTTATATATTTGGTAAACACTTATGAATCAAGTCTATGGATGCTTTATGAGTTTTCGTACACACTCAAATTTGACAACTTTGTATAGTATGCCTCTCAGAAGAGTCCAAGTAGCTGCTACTGAGTAGGACATGTGAATTCCAAAGCTAGATTCCCATTTTAATTAGTAACTGCTGATGTGTGTGCTATAGGCAATCCAAAGATCCTGCTTTTTTGCATGTTTAAGTTGCTGTTTGCTATTGTATGTTTTTTGTAAATATCCATTACAAAACCTTGACTGATTCCAGCTGCATTGTTTCTCATTTTATTGATTTTTTATTAATCAAGGCACACTTTTACTATTTATTCCATAAGTATGCATGTTGGGAGCTGAGTGGATGCATCTTTGCACCTTGTTACTAGGTTATATAGATCATCAGCAAACACCAATCAAAGGATACTGTTTGATATTGACCCTTCTGGACAGCATCTTGGTACAGGTGGCCAGGTATCTTCTTGCTTGACTATTTCCTATTATCTAGCAATGTCATGATGGTAAATTAATATCCAGTGTATGTTTTTAAATGTTTTTTTTTTTTTTTTCTACTAGAAATCTACTACTTGATCTGTCAACGCTGATAACTCTATGAGTATTTGCCTTAGACTGTGCATCTTGAATAGTTTTATTTGCAATTTTCAAGTAGACAAGTCCAGCATTAATCATTGCGCTCACTTCCCTACCTCTTTGAACGAAAAACTTGTTGCAACGAGTGTATGTGGCCATTACCATGGAACAAATTGGCAAATTTCATGTTTTCTTCAATACGGAATTAATTGACTCAACTAGGTTTGTTGTCATGTGTCCCCAACGTCGTCCATTGTCCCATGCTAGTGTCCATTTTTCCCTAGGAATGTTGTCTAACCATTGAGCTGCTTCAACATTAGTATCTCTTACTATGTTGTAATAGTAAAAGAATCTAGGTTCAGTCATCCTGTAGGCTGCAAAAAAAAAATTATTAAATAATTAAAAGTAATAATCAAATGCTTCAAACTGGGCAGTGGGTGTCAAGTTTTGAGGCTGCGTTAGGTACTCAAGTGTTATACTCTTAAAAGATGCTGGTGGTTATATTTTGTTTCAATCTTTCTTTTGATCTCATTTTTCATGCCACCTTTATCATATCTATTAATTTCTTAAAGTATTTTGCCTTATTCAGAACACATCTGCAATTTATTTATTCTTTAAAGTGTTTCTTAAGTACTTCAGATTATGTCTTGCACACTGACACGTGCCTAACACTTCGGATATGTGTTGGACACTCCTTTCCAACACTTCTTCTTAGTGTTTGAATTAAAAAAAAAAAATTTCAGCTTGAACATGGACCAAGACACTAGAACTGACGCCTACTTTGGGCTAGGCACTTCTCTGACACTCCTATAAAAAAGAAATTTTATATTATACTACAAATATTAAAATTTAATATAATTAAAAATATTATATTCTGAATACAAAATTGAAACCTGAGGATAGCTATATTGTTCAATGATGATGAAGTCGGTCATCAACTCTATATCTAGATTAGGTCTTTTAGTTTTTGAGACAACTAGGAAAATGATGCCTTTTAGCATTTTTATTGTGAGGCTCATTATTACTAGGAAAAGAGATGTGATTTGTCTTCTTATCTTGTGATATATATATATATATATATATATATATATATGGAAGAAAGAAGCAAGGACTTGAACAGTTCCCTTATTGGTTGGCTAGAGTGGGACCCACGCGGTTGTGTCTTTACTTCAACACCAATCTCCTTCCTTTAATTTCATGCTCAACCACCTTTGGTCACGTTACAGTCACGCACTTTGATATTAATGTGTCTATGTTTAGCTTTTAGCTTTCCACATGTTGCAACAACAGGACTTCTAAGGCAAACAGTTAACTATGCTCAGATATTGCTCAGATATTTTCTATAGACAAATTCTATATTTTTATATAATAACTAGTGTTTTGCAAGAAAGATTAAAAATTAATGTGAGACAAGATTCACGACTTGATGAAAAAACTTTTACAGTCATTGTGCTGTGCCAAAGGTGAGTGATTCATGCACTCAGAGCAAAAAGGATAAACAAAAGATATTTTGCATAGAAGATATTTAAGTTTTTAAATAATTGTATATGTCCAAGTATTTTAAAATTAGGAGGAAGATACAAGTAGAGATGACTTTAGTAGCAGTACCTACACAATTTAAACCTTGGCTTCTTCCCAATATCAAATATACAATAATAGATTAAGGACAAAACATATATTATTTCTTATATATATTGTTTATACTGTTTTCGATTAAATCAAAATTTTATTTCCATAGTCAATATAAACTATATAATCTTTCAATGCAAGTCTTTATTATATACATTAATTTCTTAAAGTATTTTGCCTTATTCAGAACACATCTGCAATTTATTTATTCTTTAAAGTGTTTCTTAAGTACTTCAGATTATGTCTTGCACACTGACACGTGCCTAACACTTCGGATATGTGTTGGACACTCCTTTCCAACACTTCTTCTTAGTGTTTGAATTAAAAAAAAAAAATTTCAGCTTGAACATGGACCAAGACACTAGAACTGACGCCTACTTTGGGCTAGGCACTTCTCTGACCTTTATGAAAGGTTTAAAGGAAATGAATGCGATTCTAAGAAACTGATTCAAAAGGGGTAGACGGAAGGAATAAAGGAGAGAAGGTAAGCTGAAATTGTGTGAAAAAAATGAAGGGGGAGAGGGTCTATTTATAGAAAAACTTGCGTTTTTACTGTTTACCCAGAACGGGCCGTTCCAAAACCAGAACGGCCCGTTCCAAATCACAAACCCATTCATTAAAACAGCTCCTGGAACGGGCCGTTCCGAGGCCGTTCCAAGAGTAAAAAAATGTGTAAATTTGTATTTTGGAACGGGCTGTTCTAAAACAAGAACGGCCCGTTCTAGGTTAAAAAAATTGACTAAAAAATTTCTTTAAAAAGGACCGTTTCATGGGTCTATTTCAACGTTAATTCTTAACACTGGAACGGCCCGTTCTTGGCCCGTTTCACTTTCAGAAATGTCACTCTGTTCCTTTAAGCAGAACGGCCCGTTCTGCTTTCGGAACGGGCCGTTTCGCTTCCAACATCTGCCCACGTTTCCCTGCAAACACGAAAAAAAAACCAACTCAGAATTCGGTTCCCGGGGAACCGAATTCTGAGTTAAAAAAACAAAAAAAAAATACACTTTGATGCTCAGAATTCGGTTCCCCGGAAACCGAATTCTGAGCTTGAATAGTGAATGGTTCTAACTTGGTAAATAAACCTGCACAGTTGTTAATTGGGTAATTTTTTTTAAAAAAATATTATTTAGGTAAAAAATTCTCAAAAAGATGCTATTATTTATCTTTAGAGAAAATTTAAAATAGATGTACTCTAAATAAGTTGTATGTTTACCGATGGAAGTGGATTACTACGGTAGGAGAGAATATAAGGTAATCCCTCAAAGTACATAAATTTAAATTCTGTCATGATTGAACGAACAGTTGCATTGTTGTACTTATATTAAATTCTATTGGGATAAAAGAAAAATGTCTCTCTGTAAATTATCTTTAAAAAAATATTAAATAATAAAAATTATATAATAACAAATGATTATTAAAAATTCAGAAGATAATAATATATAATTTAAAAAATCTATAATTGATAAAATTATACAATAGAATAATCTTCTTTATTAATAATATAAATATTGATTTAAAAGTAAATAAAAGAGACGGATGCGTAATCAGTAAACGTGCCACGTGTGTCGTATGAAACGTGGTTCCTTCAGTTGGCTGCCAGCTAACATGTAATGTAACAACTAATAATAATAATAATAATAATAATAATAATAATCTGTCAAAAAAGAACAAATCATGACTAAATAGCATTCACCATCCGGTCGGATTAGATTTCAATTTTCATGACTTCATACTTTCCTTTTATTTTCTTTTCAAGACAAGAGTTCCGTGCTTCATTCAGCTTATTTTTAAAAATACTTTTAACAAGTAATTTCAAATAATATTTTCAAACATAATTTTGTTTCTGCTTTTTACTTCCTTAAAAAAAATCATGTTTTATAAATTTTCTTTATTATTTTAATTAATATAAAGAAGGCACTGTATTAATTTATACAATGTCTCTCAATGTCTTAAATATATTACTTTAAAAGAAAATACCTATGTTGAAAGAAAATAAGTAAGATTATTTTTCTTGCGTGTAATACCAATGTTAAGTTTTTTTACACTATTAATCTATCGATAAATATGATATTTATGAGATATGAGATGATTATTATAAAAGTAAATAAATTTAATATATATATATATATATATATATATATATATATATATAAATGATAGAGTAATTTTTTTTCGTTATAGCGTGGATTCATATATTATTAACTTATATATTAAAGAAGTTTTTATATATATAGTTAGTATAACAAGTTTTACAATGTTAACAAATGAAAAATTATGTTTGAAAGATTTATAAGATTTTATAAACTATTGGTAAAAACAAAAAATTTAATATACTATAATAGATATTAATTAGAGGACTTAATAAAAAAATATTTACAACATCAATGCTATATTATTTTTTCTAAATTAAATTTTATAAAAAGCCAACTTCTTAATGGTTTCTATATTTATTAAGTATTTTGTAACCGACAAAGCAATACATGTGATATCATGTAAGAAAAAAAAGGAATGCATGAGAATAGGCATTGATTAATGAGATGAAAAGTATGAAGTCCAGCTACCACCGCATGTACCTGCTAATTTTTTAATTAAAAATGCGTATTATGTTAATTATTTTCCTTTTACGTGGCAAAATCATAATTTCCATTAAATATTTTGAAATTAAAAAAGGAATAAAAAAAAAAAGTACAAGTGTTAGGAAAGGCATCACCGCAAAGGCTGAAACACACGCGGTACCTGCTTCGTAACTTCCTTTCTCTCCCACCTCTCTGGATTCTCTTTGACCCAATTGGTATTATCAAACTAACAAGCCACAACATATCAGACTCCTCTCATTTTCTTTCTCTTCTTTTCCTCACTTTCGCTTCCCTTCCCTGAATTTCGGACACTCCGCGCGAAGCCTCGTTGTCACAAAAAATGCGGAGTTTCACTTTCTTCGAACGAGTTTCTAGAGCTTTCCGTGATCATGGCTCTAACTTCAAGCTTGTTCTCCTCTGCACCACCGTTAGGTACCATCAACTTCAACCTTCGTTTCACTTTTTTCTTTCCACAAATAGCAAACTTGATTTTATTCTCTGTTTTGACTTTTCATCGTGCTTCCTTTCTCTCTGTTTTTCACCTCTAGTTCGCTGAATTTCGCTTTCGAGGCAGATCCACGTATTGCAATACAAACAATTTATTGAAGCTATTTTTTCAAAATTATCTTGCAAATTGTTCTCCGATCCTCTGCATCAAACTATGCTCTGTTCTGTATTCTAGATTCAACTTAAATTGAATATATACATAGATAGATATTTCACGTCTGAGTAGATCTAAGAAGAAGGATTATGCAGAATTGTTGACTTGCTACTCGTATCATATAGGATTTAATTTATATACAACCTAACTATATAAGAGGAATTTATCTTGCGTCCGACGTGGTAAAATGGAAAGCTGTGATTAATTTTGATGATAAATTATTACATATTTAGGATTATTATGGTATGATCAATCTTTAAAAGACACATGGCCAAGTCTCTTAGCCCATTGGTTATAAGACCCTTCTTGGGATACAGAGGGTTAATATGGTTCACATAATACACTAAAACGGACAATTAAGTACTAATTTGCGTTTGCATTTGACTGACTAAACATTATTTTATGGCGGCTTTTGCAGAGCGTGAATTCGGTTGAACAAATATTATTTTACTACGGACAACATTAAATTTTGATACATTGTAAATTGGCAATATGTTATAATTATGATAAATATAGGTTACATGAGGTGGTACGTCTAGGTATTAATATCGATCATCTTATACTAAAATAAAATACAATGCATAATTTAATGACAGTTACAGTATAATGGATGTAAATGTATATAAATAAAGTTGTATGTTGTATTTGGGTGATGTGTGAGTGAATGAAGAGGTGGTTGATGCAGTGGTGGAGGGGTTCTGGCTTACGGAGAGGCTGTTGGTGCATCTGAAGCGGCGGTGACGGAGAAGAAAAAGGTGGTGGTGCTGGGAACAGGGTGGGCTGGCACGAGTTTCTTGAAGAATCTCGACAATCCCAGATATGAGGTTCACGTTGTCTCGCCCCGCAATTACTTTGCATTCACTCCTTTGCTGCCTAGTGTTACCTGCGGCACCGTCGAAGCTCGCAGCATTGTCGAACCCGTCCGCAATATTTTCAGGAAGGTAGTAATGATCAAAACTAAATACTCACTTGCTCCCTGTTTCATTCTGTTGCCATATCAGATTATTATATATTTATTTTTGGGAAATTGTTGATTAATTTTGAAAGAATACCTATATAAATGATTTATGTAGGAAAGAAAAAAAACACCAAGAACAAACGCCAGACTGTGTTAACAAGTGTTTTTTTTTTGTATTTTTTTTATTTTGAGTCCCTAAAATGGTGCTACATTGTCCTGTCAGTGATGCTTGATAATATAGAACCTCTTAAAACCTTTTTCTTTTTATGATTTTTCTACCAATTAAGAATAGAGAGCTTATTTTTAAAAAAATGTTGCATTAAAACTACAAAAATAACATTTAATGTATTGAATTTTTTATTTTTTATTTTTTAACCTACGTACTTGCAAATAAGATTATAAAATTGTTTTTTATATACATTTTAGATATTTAGGTAATTTTTGTTTTAGAAAAGGAAACGGATTTATTTGAACCGAATTCATGAGATTGTACCACATCATACATTAATAGTATATGTTTGTGAGACGAATTGCTACTAGCCACTAGGAGATACATGTTTTGGTAATTAGATTGCCAGTATAGAATTTTGCTTAATGCTATGCCCATTACTAGTGGATGCAACTAAAAGCGTTTTCATTGTTATCCTCCGCACAGAAAAAGGTGGACGTTCAATTCAGTGAAGCAGAATGTCTCAAGATTGACGCAGCAAACAGGAAGGTTTACTGTCGTTCTAGTATAAATAATAATTTGAACGATAAAGAAGAATTTGTGGTGGACTATGACTACTTAATCATAGCCGTGGGAGCTAATGTCAACACATTTAATACTCCAGGAGTGACGGAGAATTGCCATTTCTTGAAGGTGATTTCTTTTATCATATTATCATGTACTTTTGGTGTACTTTTTTTCAAAAAAAATAAAAATAAATAAAGTTCTTCACCCAGTTAAGAAATAGTCAGGACTCAGAAGAGGAGAAGGGGTCAACTCCAATGATAAGATGTCTTAGGGGTGATTCTATATTGCTTATGCACATGTGTTTATGGTTTTTAGTTATCTCATGGACATATTGTGCAGGAAGTTGAAGATGCACAGAAGATTAGAAGAACTGTTATTGACTGCTTTGAGAGAGCAAGTTTGCCTAGTGTAAGTGAGGAAGAAAGGAAGAGAATTCTTCATTTTGCTATTGTTGGAGGTGGTCCAACTGGAGTGGAATTTGCAGCCTCACTACATGACTTTGTCACAGAGGATTTGGTTAATTTATATCCTGGTATAAAAGATTTAGTTAAAATTACACTTCTGGAGGCTGGAGATCATATTTTGGGCATGTAAGCGTGAAACTCTCATTACACCTTTCTCCTTATTAGTTTTAATGATGCTTTGCTGTTCCTTATTTGTGTTTATGAGTTGGCATTTCCACATTTGAAAGCATGTGATTCAGTCGAGGATTTTATGTGTGTGGGTGGGTGGTTTTGTTGTTTAAAATAGAACGTACTGTGAGCTTATATGCTTTGATTCTGATGTTCATTTTTCAGGTTTGACAAAAGAATCACTGCGTTTGCTGAAGATAAGTTCCGAAGAGATGGTATTGATGTGAAAACAGGATCCATGGTTGTGAAGGTATCTGATAAAGAAATTTCTACTAAAGAAATGAAAAATGGAGGAGAAATTACTACAATTCCATATGGAATGGCCGTCTGGTCAACTGGTATTGGCACTCGTCCATTTATAAGAGATTTTATGTCACAAATTGGTCAGGTATGTCTATGGGAAATTTTCCATTATAGTTGTTCTGATTCAATATTCTAGATCATGTTTCTCTTTTAGTGTTTGTATTTATTTTTCAGCAAATAAATTATACATTCATTTATTATTTACTCGACATTGATTATTCTGCACAGACTAACAGACGCGCCATAGCTACTGATGAATGGTTGAGAGTTGAAGCAACTAACAATGTGTATGCACTTGGTGATTGTGCTACAATAAACCAGCGAAAAGTCATGGTATATTATACTATTTCTCCATCATTTATTTAATTAATATTGGACATTATTAATTAACCTTTATAGTTTATACACTTGGCACACATCTTGGTTAATAACTCTATGGGTGAGCAAAACCCAACCCATTCACGGATCCAACATGTTTCCTTGTTGATTTGGATGGATTTAGGTCTTAAAATTAAACTCAATATAATTTTCAAGATGGATTCGAGTTATGCTTGTGTTGTCCCAAATTGTCCTTCATTCTTTAAAAATGTATAAATTTTTAAAATAATTGTGTATTAATAAATATATAATATTTTGTATAACATTATATGATATTTATTATGAAATTATTTATTTTAAAATATATACTTCAAAATATACTTTAATTTAAGTTTTGTATCACTTTTGTTTCATAATTTAACTATACATATTAATATTGATATATTATATTGACTTAAAAACATTGATTGACTTGGTTCCATCTCATATATTTGGAGTCTTGATTAGATTAGGTTTGGATTTAAATAAATAACCCAATTAATTTTTTGGACCGGGTAAGAACAAGGCTAAACCTGTCCCAATCCGTCCTTTGCTCGCCTCTAAATAACACTGCTCCCCAGTACTTATTACCTTGCCAAGCTAGCTGAATGTTTCATAAAGCTAAATCTATCACAGTCTGGGACTTGTATGATGTTATTGAAATTTCAAATGTTATCTTTCTTCTTGTTGTGGATTATTAATTTGGGTTCTGGCATTTCAGGAAGATATCGCCGCAATATTTAAGAAGGCTGACACTGACAATTCAGGGACTCTTACTGTCAAAGAATTTCAGGAGGTGTTGGCTGACATCTGTGAGAGATACCCTCAGGTGGAGCTATATCTAAAGAGTAAACAAATGCACGACCTTGCTGATTTGCTGACAGAGTCCAAGGGAGATGTTAAAAAAGAATCCGTTGAACTCAACATCGAAGAACTCAAAACCGCACTCTCTAAAGTGGATTCTCAGATGAAATTTCTTCCTGCTACAGCGCAGGTGCATGTCATGTTATTTGCATGATGTAACATTATATTATCCGATTTTGTCTCCTCAATGATATATGACTTGGGGTGTCTGAAATTACTTATCAGGTTGCATCTCAGCAAGGCACCTACCTGGCCAAGTGCTTTAACCGGATGGAAGAGTGTGAAAAAAATCCAGAGGGTCCAATCAGGTTCAGGGGAGAAGGGCGCCATCGCTTCAAACCCTTTAGGTAGAAAATCATATTAGTTTACTAGCTATGCTTTTGTGTGCTCTTACCCTTGACATGATGATGAAATGATTCAAGGTTTCTCATTGGTTGGTCAATGCGTTGCTCATTACTAACTGCATGGTTGATTGTTCCTCAAGGTACAAGCATTTGGGTCAATTTGCTCCTCTAGGAGGAGAGCAAACAGCTGCACAGCTTCCTGGGGATTGGGTTTCAATTGGACACAGTTCACAATGGCTGTGGTATTCTGTCTATGCAAGGTAGTGAGTTTCCTTTTGCTTAATATTTCATTTTGAAACTAAACATTCATAAGGCATTCTTATTATCAAGTTACTAAAGTTTCATCCAATGCTTTGAACAGCAAGCAAGTCAGCTGGCGCACAAGGGCATTAGTAGTATCAGACTGGACAAGACGCTTTATTTTTGGGAGGGACTCCAGTCAAATATGAAAGAGATTCAACATTTTTCCAGGAGTCTTGTAGTGCGATATTGCAGAATGCAGAGCTCGTCAATCTTGAATTTATGTTGATATAGAGATGTTTATTCTCCAATTCCTGATTCTTTGAATAGCAAAAGCAGACTCCCTGCTGGGATTTGTGATCACTGATCATGCTTTTGTCAGTTTAAACTTTTTCATGTATGAATTTTTTATATACCCCTTCCGCTTTTCTTTCTTGCTTCTGGAATTGAAATTGCGGCATTTGTGAATCTCCGAGTTTTGCTTATTTATTTCGGAGATGTTCGGTGATGTTAGTTTATGACCTTAATCATTCGAGTTATACTGACTGAATGCTTTTTAATATTTTGTCATTCTTTGAATTTCTGATCAAGGGAGACGATTGCTTTGTTGGAACGAGCTGGGGCAGTAACCTCTCTCTCTCTTTAGCTTTCAATAAATACACTTCAAGAAAATAGTGACATACACTTTATAAAAAATAGTATACATGTCAATAAAAATTATTTTTATTCACATTATAATTATAATATATGTTGGTATATTATTAAAACGTGTGGATATAGGCTATAGTGACATACAAAATATGTTGTTAAATCTTATTTAAAATCAATATTAAAATTGTGTGTAACTATATGTTAAATAGACATATACCTATATATATTATACTAATAGTAACATTTTTTTTTTATTTTTTGTATGTCATTATATATAACATTTATTGTAGTGATAAAAGGTTATTTCTAAATAACCTAATGACCGAAAATATATGTGGAAATAAGATTATTAATTAAAAAAATTAATCGAAAATAATAGCTTAATTAGGTTTTCATATTTAATAACCTAGTTACTTTTAAATAAAAATATATAGTCTGAATTTGATTACTTTCAACATTATTTAAGTAACTTTCAGTAAAAAGAATTTAAATATTTCTGAATAAAAACGTTGAGAAATTAAAATTTGAATATATATATAAATGTATTACGAAATATATTTTATATTTGAAAAACCTAAATGAAATTGATTTTTTTAATAAAAATAGAAAAATTACAAGATAATTGCAATAGGAATCAAATCTATATATAAAAAAGGTATATATATATATATATATATATATAAATGGAAGTCAAATCTAGGTTTGCTTCTAAATATTTCAATCTTTTCTTTCAATAACTAGATTAACCATACTGGTTCAAACTAGATGATTTGCATACTTAATATAATTATTTTTTTTAATATGATTAATGTTATTTATATATTTTATTCATTATATTATTAATGATAAAATTAAGTAAAAAATAATTATTTTATTTGTTAGTTGACACATGTACTTTAAACTTTAATATTGTTGTGAATTTGACATATGTCATTCAAACTTATGAATGGATTTGGAGATGTAATTCTAATGATAATGATTTCCTTTTTTTTATTATTATTTTTGACCCATTAGAATTATGACGATATCAGAATTTAAATGAAAATTGTGTGCATATTACTCTAATTCTACTAACCATTGTACACGTAAAATAGAGTTACCGGATTGGGCCTCGAATGACCCTGATCCTAATACCAACAATGACCTTTTTGAATTTTATTGGTGTCTAATGTATGATGAATTGGTCCTTATTACTTGATCTCAAACAATTTGGATGATACTGTACAAAGTATCATCATCTTTGTTGCGAAACTAACAAGATAAGAAATAAACGTGTGTTTTGCATTTTGTATGAATATATTATTGCCTATTACTTTTATTTAACATGTTTTAGTGTTTTCTTTATTATTGTCTAATAATAGATAGAGAGGTCTATTTAATTGATATATTATTTATTATGTTTTTAAATATCATTTATTTATTAATATTATCATTAAGTCCTTACAGTCTTTAATAATTATTTTAATTTTGATCTTTATATTTTTTATTCAAATGTTTTTTCCTCCTCTTTTTGAATCCAAATAATTTTTTTCATTGTAAAATTTTTTAAACAACTATTTATTTTTAATTTTTAAAATATTAATTAAGGAGAAATCACTAAAGTTATTTGAATTTACTAAATTTTAATTGAGAATATAAAATAAATATATAAATATACATTAAGAACTATACTTGGTACATTTGCATGTATAAGTAGAATTTTTTTTATAGTATTACTTTTTACTATTGTTTATAGTTTACTTTATATTATTTTAAGTTATTAATATATTATCCTTGCAGTAACTATAGTTTTTTATTTGAACTATATTATTATGTATAGTAACAACTGAATTTCTTTTAAATAATTATTTTTTAAAGATAAGATCTAAATCAAAATAATTTTTTTTTAAAATTTATTTCAATTTCATATATTTTAACTGATATATATTAGACTTGGTAGTGTATATAAATATGTATAATATTTCTATTTTTTAGTAGTTTTTAATTTTTATAAAAAAATTTAATTATCTTTATTATTATAATAACAATTTATTAATATATCTGACTTTTTTATGATGTTTATTTTATAATATTAATATATTATATTATACTATTTTAGATTATTAATATATTATTATTATTATATTTTTTATTTCTTCAAATTATAGTATCGGTCTCTTACTAGTTTATTTATTTTTAACTAATAATGCTTATATTTGTTATTAATATTCTTTACTTTAAATTAAGTTTAAAATTATAATATTATACTATTTTCTTAAAAACATTAATCAACATTTTATTACCATTTTAAATATAATCGTGTTATTTTAAATATTTATTATAGTATTAATTTACTGTCATTAAGAAATATTAAAAATTCTTTATCATGGATAATTTAATTTTTAAGGTTATTTTAATTTTAATTTGAAATTAATTTCTAAAAAATTATTTTTCAAACATTATATAATTAATTTAACGTATTTTGATTTAAATAAGTTTTTTTATATGTTACTTATCAATTTAAAGCATCTAACATATTTAAGGAATATTTTTAAATTTTATTTTTATAATACTATTTTATTATTCTAGAAAAAAATTATTATAATGTGTGAATTTTTTAATTCTTTATTTTACTTTACAATATTGTTATTATGTATCATGAAAAAATATTTTACAAAATAGTAGGGTCAAAAATCTCTTAATTTATAACAATAAAAAAAATAAGTTAATAAATAAATTATTCGTAACGACCCGGATGGTCACTACACACTACACAGTACACTTGAAAACCGGACAGAAAGGAACAAGTGTATATATATAGTGTCTAGAATATACATATATACATGGCCCAAGTCTGACTAGATTCAAATGTACAAAATACATCAATCGCTACTACACCTAGTAGCTAAAACACCAAAACATCCACAAGAATTAAGTTCTATCTGCCAGCTGCAGACCTGCCGTAAGCCACCAACCTATCCCTGCTCTGCTCCCATACGTAGTATGATTATCCCAGTCCAAACCACATGGAAACAACAAGGGTAAGCTAGTGAAAAGAAACAACATACAAATATATAAATTTAAGAATAGTAAACAAATACCGCTATCCGAACATCAATTAGCAATAACAACCGTAAACAACAGTACACATCGATAAATAGTAGTAAACACACAATGCGTCGTCACGTATATCAGCTCGGAGATCTCCTACCACAACTTAGCCTTACGGCCTACAACAGCTCCTATCAGCACGAAGCACAGCACCGACTTAGCGGCTATAACAGCACCGACTTAGCGGCTATAACAGCACCACAATAGTGGCTAACAGCACCTACATAGCGACTATAACAGCACCACAATAGTGGCTAAACACAGCATACCGCTCAGCAATAAACAACACGGCAAAACAGCTCACAGCACAGCACAACACCAAAATCAGCATACAGCACAGCTAAGTAGTATTCAACACAGCTTACTACTCACAACTCGGCTCATCATTCTAGAGCACAGCCATATTATAAGTCAGCATTTAAAATCATCAATAACAGCCCAGCTCAGCATAGCGAGATACATCTATTATAGCTTAACATCATTTTTCAGCATTTACATCTAGTCAGCACAACATATTTATCAATTACATCTCAACTCAGCAATTACAACATAATTCAACAACTATCAGCATATAATTCAGCTCGACTCAAACAATAAAGTTTAGCATTAGCATCACATATCACAACTCAGCGTTACATCATTAACAACATACCGCACAACACAACTTTTCATCACACGGCATTGGCAACATTAATCAGCATAAACAACATTCAGCACAGCTCAGCTTAATAGCACAGCCTATCGTCTTACCGCACATCTAAGCATCTTACAGCAACATACACCTAACACAACTCATCATCATCAAACAACAATTTCAACTAGTCATCACATCATATTCATCAATTTCGACTTAGTTCAGCATGAAACAATATTGTCAACAAATTCAGCATATAACTTTACATCCTCATACGCGCCCGGCGCACTCATGGTCACGCCTGGCGTGGCACAACCAGAGGGCTCCAGGGGCCAGCGCGCCCGGCGCAAGCGTGCCTGCGCCCGGCGAGACTTAGTCAGAGAGTCCAAAGCTCTCTCGCGCCTGGCGCAATACCCGATTACGCCCAGCGCAGGCCAGGCAGAGACCTCCCTTGGTCTCGCGCCCAGCGCAAACCAAATTGCGCCCAGCGCCCTCGAGGCAGAGACTCCCAAGGAGTCTCACGCCCAGCGCGACAAGGGCCGCGCTCAGCGCAGCACATCAATATCATCATTCAGCTCAATAATCATTCATCACTAACAGCTTAAAACAACATGATCAACACCTAATACGACCCAACCATCTTGTTTACAACTCATCTATCTTGTCAAATTACTCACCCAAACAACAAGAATACACCTAAGCACCTAAAACAACTTTCAACTTAACCAAATCACTAAATGTGAAATGGCAACCATCACAGTAAACAGCGCATCAGGAGTTATACTACTCCTACCATGCTCATCCTTATCTCATATGAAAGATAATCAAATTTTTCTACAACTCTCGTGAAGATACCAAGTCTTAATTCCTTCATCTACCATGTTAAAAATGATAAAAACCGCAACATCTATAAACAAAGCTAGCAGCTCGACCCCTCTTCACTAAAACAGCCATATCTAGAAATCTAAAACTCCTTTTTGGGTGATTCCAGCGCCATTGGAAAGCTAACATCCAAGGCTATAACTTTCATGAAGACTGCAAAGTCAAATTCTGAAAAACCAATTCGCGCCCGGCCTATTAAAATCGCGCCCGGCGAAATTCTCAACCAGAGACCTACAGAGGTCTATTGAGCCCGGCGCGGTTCTCCCCGAGCCCGGCGCGATTCACCCAGAAATTACCCATTTCAAGTCGAGCCCAGCGCGAAGAACTGCGCCCAGCGTGAATTCAAACGGAAACCC